ACTTGTTCATATCATACAATAGCATTGTAAAGAAAAATAATGTTGAAAGACTTGAGGATTGTGATTAATGAAATGAACAACCATAATTCCAGGTGTTGACACTCACTATCCACCTCTTGAGAATGAGATAGAAATTTTTGGACAAGGCCAATGAAGGAATTAGCATTGCTTTACTATGCATATTTGTTATAAGGGTTTTGCTTTCCTTTTCTTTCCACACCCTTTTTGGAGGGAGAATTTCAATAAGGTTGGCCAAAAAAAGGAAAGGGGGAAAAAAGAGGGTCACTGAAAGTCTTTAAAATGAACAAAAGAAAATAGAAGAAAACACAAAAAGGACAAACAGCTTTATAAGTTATGTGTTTAATTTATTACATACTTGAAAAGAAAAGCAAATTGTACATAAAAGAGATTTACAGTTTTGTGTGTTCCATTTTACTCTGCATAAGAAAATACTCATTTTATTTATGGTTGGTTAAATTCTGAATAAAAAAATAAAATTTAATATGTAATGAGGGAATAAAAAGAAATTGTTCATTAAATCTCTGTGAGCCAAGGGTTCTTTGAAAGAGAGAGAAAAGTCTTTTTTAAGCAAATAAGAAACCCTAATTCACAAAATATCTATTATTCTTGAAAGATTGAAGAAAGCTGTAGGGTCAAGACAAACCTGGATAAAATATACAGTTTTTACACACCAACATATACACAATTTTTATATTCTTATAAACCCAAACTTCAGTAAATCCCTTAAGATCATTAGAAAAATTGTACCCTAATACATTGGGTTTGTGGTTTTATTAAAGTTTGACTAAATTTTGATGGAAGAACCAGGATTAATGCATGTTTTCTTTGTAGAAACACAATTTTCTTTTTAAAGTTTTAAAGCCACCTCTCTGTGTTTGCTGTTCCATAGTTTCAGAGGATTTCAGATTCTATAGAGAATGATACCAAGGTGCTACTTCAGTTATTAGAAGCTATCAGCACCATGGTCAGGGGTAGCAGCACCACACAAATAGCAACTGGCTTAGGAAAAAAAAAAAAAGCAAAGAATTGACACAGCTGAACTTAATTGAACTGAACTTTCATTTCTTCAACTTACAGAAGAGATATTATCAATGATTTTTAAAAGGGGAGAAGAGCTGCCACTCACTGTGAGTATTCTAATCACATTCATTGATTATGATGAATTTAGGCATTTTGGATTATTTGCAGAGTGAGACTCAGAACCAGTTAAGACTATGGGACTCACAAGGGTGTGGTCCTATCATTTGGATTTACTGAGAAGAAAATTCCCCTACATAGTTATTTCTCTATTTGACTCTTCTGGTATACTAATTGACAAGGAAGCAACAGGGAGAAAGGGAATGTATATGTATATCACTTCCCCAGTTGCCTGGTGCTCTATGTCAATCTTTGGCAATTTTCCTTGGATGGTAAGGGTTTAGATTTTATGTAAGGTTTGATACTGTGATGAGATGGTCTTTCAGAGACAGATTTAAGTACATTTTTTGATATGACACTTATTCTGAGACTCTGCTTCATCACCCTAAGATAGTGTTTTTTAGCCAAGATGAAATGCAAGTGCAGGATATAAAGGTAGAGTGGATCAAGGGATGTCATGCCATGGCAAGCAAAGGACCTAGCCAAGAAAAGTGTCAACATAAACACAGAAAAGAAGCCCAAAGCATATCTAATTAGTTGGAGATGTAGGACCAGAACCCAGGGTTTTTGAGTCATACACACAGTATTAAAAAAAAAACCCACACACATATCAGCCACCCTTGTCCCCATCAACATTATCACAGCATTGTATACTTCAACTCCATCTAGTCCAACTCTGTGTTAAGTAATGTCATATAATCTACCTTGTCCAAACCCCTTCCATCTCAAACCCACAAACACAACCTGTGAGAGCAGCTATAAAGGGTCAAGGATTATGCAGTCTGAACTTACATTGCTCTGTTTTACCTTAAGCCCTAAGATTCTATCACAGAGCCTTTATGCTTGGCATTTAATATTTACTGAGTACCTACGCCATGCTAGTTATGGAGTTTAATGTGTACCTGACATAGCCTCTTCCTCCTATTCTCCTTTTTGTCTTCACATAGAACCACTAATTGATTATCTCATCCAGTCATCAAAAATACTTATGATTAGCTATAGAGTAATAATAATAACTCACAGTTACATAATAATTTAAGACAGCAGTTCTCAAACTTTTTGTTCTCCAAACCCCTTTACACCCTCAAAATTAAATTAATTAAATTAAAATATCTAAAAACTTTTGTTTATGTGGGTTATATCTACTAATATTTACTGTATTAAAAATTAAAATATTTCAGTATTTTTATGGAAATAGTTTTGATCTTGTGAATTCCTTTAAAGAGGAGTCCCTAAACCCATTAGTGGTATTGAAAATGTTTAACAACTGACACTCCAAAATGGCTCTTATTAGAAAGAAGGAAAAAAGAATCTTATCAAACAAATATCTGACTTATTTGCTAGATGAGGAGAGATGCCTAGCAAAGGCAACTAGGCCAGAATATGAACTTGTGTAAAATCTTTTGAAGAAGGATAAGGGGTGCTTATAATCAATGTCATCTTGTAAAACAGAGCAGCAGTGGAGAGTAAAACCTTTTAAAAGGAAATTTGGCAAGATAACCAAGTAAGTAAAGGTCAAGAGAATTATAAGTAGAAGAAAAATGAAAAAGATTTACCGATAAAAAATAATTATAACAAACTTTTCTCAATGAATAACAATGGAATCATCACATTTGTTGAAGATAGTAATTATTTCAATTATTTTTAGTTGACTCTCTAGGGTACAACATCATCATATCAACTGCAAAAGTGATAGTTTTGTTTCTTCTTTACCTATACTTATTCCCTCAACTTCTTTTTCTTATCCTTATTGATAACATTTCTAGAGTTATGTTAAATAGAAGTGGTAACAATTGATATCATTGTTTCTCCTTGATCTTATTGGAAAGGATTCTGGTTTTTCCCCCCATTACATAAAATGCTGACTCTTGGTTTTAGATAGATACTATTTACCATGTTAAGGAAATGTCTATTTATTTCTGTTTTCTAGTGGCTTTTTTTTTTAAGTAAAAATTGGTATTGTATTTTGTCAAAAGCTTTTTTCTACATCTATTTATACAATCATATGGATGTTATTAATATGATCAATTATGTTTATAGTTTTCCTAAAATTAAACCAACACTGCATTTCTGTTATAAATCCAACTTGGTTATAGTGCATAACCTTTGATTTTTTTGCTATAGCCTTTGTACTAATATTTCATTTAAAATTTTTGCATCAATGTTCATTAGAGCTATTGGTTAATAGTTTTCTTTTTGTATTTTGATTCTCCCTGGTTTAGGTATCAAAGCCATATTTGTACCATAGAAGAAATTTGGTAGGATACATATATTATTTTTTTCAGTTTGTTTAATATTGGATTTAACTTTTCTTTGAACTTTTGATAGCATTCACTTGCAAATCCATCTGGCCCTGCTTTTTCTTTTAGAGCTCATTAATGACTTGTTCAATATCTTTTTCTGAGATAGAGATATCTTCAAGTTTTTTTTTCCCTGTTATTTGGGAATATTTTGTGCTTTTGTAAATATTCCTTTATTACACTTAAGTTTTTTATTTTATTGGCATAGAGTTGGGCAAAATGATTTCTAACAATATGTCCTTTTTTGTCTTCATTTGTTGTGAATTCATTTTCTTCATTTTTGATCTTGGTCATTTGGTTTTCCTCTTCTTTTTCATCAAATTAGCTAATGGTTTATTTTTTTTTCTTTTTAGCGAGGCAGTCGGGGTTAAGCGACTTGCTCAAGGTCACACAGCTGATACGTGTCAAGTGTTTCGTCTGAGCCTGGGTGCGAACTGAGGTGCTCCTGACTTCAGGGCAGGTGCTTTATACACTGCGCCACCTAGCCGGTTTATTATTATTTTTTTTTAAAGATAGCTTTGTTAATGGGATTTTTTTTTTTGGCTTTCATTTTTGTTAACTTCTTTGTTAGTTTCTTCTTTGATTTTCAGGATTTCTATTTTGGTGTTTAATTGGGGTTTTAAAATTTGTTGACTTTTTAGGGTTTTTTAATTGCATGCCCAATTAATTGACCTGTTCTTTCTTTTGTTGATGGAAGTGTTTAGAGCTGGAAAATTTCCCCTCACAACTGCTTTGGCTGCATCACAAAATTTTAGTAGTTTGCCATTATTATTCACAAAATTATCTATTGTTTCCATGTTTCGTTCTTTGACTCAGTAAAGTTTCTTTAGCTTAAGGTTAGCTTTTCACTCTTCTTAACTCCTGACCCCAGGGTGCACTCTACTGTACTCACAATAGACTTCCCATTGCCCTCCCCACCTCTCCCCACAATACTGCCTGCTGAATCATTCTGAGGCTGGAGATAAACCAACCTCACCTGCCCTTTCATTTTCTCCTTTGCCTCCTTGTCATTAGCAAACCAGGGGGATGTGCGGGACCCTAAGAAAGAAGTGCTAGCAACCCCCACTCCTTCAAAGTCTCTGACAATGGCCCCGCCCTCCACTGGCTCCTCCCCCTTCAAGTGTTCCCTTAGGGCAAACCTAGGTGGAAGCTCCTCCCTCAAAAACGGACCCCTCAGCTTGGAGGGAGCATCCAAAGAAAATGTCTTTCGGGTCTCAGGACCGGTGAGGGGCGGGGGAGAAAAAAAAAGAGCAGTTCCTATGGAAACAGACTGTGATGGTGGACTTTTGAACGGCAGAGAAGTTGCGCTACTTCCCCTCTTCTCTAACCTAGCCAATGGAGACCAGAGCCTAGATGCTGGGCAGGGATTAAATGTCAGTTCTAGAACCATCAGAACCTTCAGCAAATGAGAACTTCTATTGCCGTTCGAAGCTGGGGAAGAGGGGAGCGAGAAGAAGAGGGGAAACCACTCAGCCCTTAGCATTCTGGGAATTGTAGTCCCTAGGCCTCTCTGCGCAGCTGTGCTGCCCGCTTTCGCCTGGAGATGTGTGCGCATGCTCGCCGCCATGATTGGAAAAGATGATTGTCTCCGAGTCGCGTCTTTGTCAGTCCAGGCCCCGCAGCCGGTGACCAGGTATTTAGTGACCGAGCGTCCGTCCCCGATACCCACTCGCACTCTCGCCCTAATAGGAGCAGGTCCGGGAGGGGAAGAAAACGGCTTGTGCTCCCTGGGCGTGACCGCTTGGGCCCTGGATGTGCGCGGCGGGGCCTGCCCTGGGGGTGCCGGGGACTGTGGCCGAGCCGTGTGGACGTGTGGCCGCTTCCAGCAGCTTTGCTTATCCTGTTTGACCACAGCACCGCGTGCCGCCGGTAGAATGTGAGCTCCTTGAGGGCAGGGACTGTTTCAGCTTTTTTATCGTAGGCACTTAATAAATGCTCTTTGACCGAATGAATGACTGAAACTCACCTTGTGTCCATTTTGTGTATCCAGGGTTTCTGGCCATCTCCGCAGGTCTCGGAGGGCCTGCTGTGCCTGAGGCTGCTGGGTCCCTCCTGCTGACTCCTTCCCGACTCTGCCTAATCGGCCCTGGGTAGCTCCTGGGGCAACAGAGGGAGGATTCATTCCTGGGGAGACAGATCAGAGAGCCCCACAGTGAAGGAAGGTCCAAGCTCTGCAAGAAGGTGAATGTGGAGGAAGATCCCACATCTGACTTGAGATCTTTGACTAGAGCTTTGGGGCAGAAAGGAGCAGGTCCTGGAGCTGCTGGTGCTTTAGCAATTTTCTGATCCACCTGCCTGGTTAGATAGCAATTGGGTGACAGCAGAACACCCAGAAGCCATTGAGAAGTGGCTGACCATGGAAGATCTGACCCAAATGCTTGGGGAGAGAGGTGAGAATTACAGAAGGGGAGGGAAGGTGATAGGTACCCCAGGATGGGAAGAGGAAAACATATCTCAAAAGAAGGTGTCTGAGTGAGGGAATGGGCCAGGTGGGAAGTAATCAACATTTAAGGATTATCCCAACTTTGTTTAACTTTTGTTTTTCCTACTATGCCCCTTTCTGTCATCCCAGTACACACATAGAGGTTCTTATCTTTCCAAGTCCAAAGGCTCTGAACTTGTTTGCTCCCACAGCTATCATCACCTTAATCTCTGGGGTCATGAGGATTCACCTTCCTAGTCTGTCTCAAATAGAGAACAATTCCGTTTCCTTTTAGATCAATTTGCAGTTTTTCCACAAAGAACTTTTACTGAGAACCTAAGAGAAAACACAAGGAAAACTTCACTCTAATACCAAGTTTCTAGTATGCAGTTATCTGAATAATGTTCAAGTCTTTCCCAGAACAGATTCTTTGGTCAGCAGAAGCTATTATGTTTAGCTAGCTCTTGCAGGGCATCTGACCTTGGTTCCTCTTTATCTTAAATCCTGTATGGGGAACCTTGCTACGCATCTCCCCTTTGTAAACTTTAAGTGTTTCCTCTCTACTCCCTCTTGTGTTTCCTCCTTCACTCCAGGGAGGGGCTGAATTTGGTGCATGGATCTCAGGTGATGAGAATTATATATACATGCACACATACACACACATATAAATTGTTTTTATATCACCTACAATTCCCAATATATTCTTTCCCCTTCCTACTCCCAGAGCACCATAAAGAAGAAGAAAAAGGAAGTTCAGGAAAACTGACCACCATATTGAAAAAGTCCGACATACTCAGTGTTCAATACCCTTAGGCCTACACTTTTGCAAAGAAATAGGGAGAAGGTGCGTTCTTTTACCTCTCTTTGGAGGTAAAGTTGGTTATTAGAGACAATATATTTTTAATTAGTTAATGGGTCAGGTTTCATTAGAAAGAGGAGGAACCCATTATATATCAATAATTATATATTATATTAAAGTCATGACCAATGTTGTCAGGTTGATATTACCATTATATGGTATATATTATGCTTTTTAAAGAATACAGAGATCCTTTTCTTTCATTTTTTTTCTTTATGAACTGACCAAACATCAGCAAACATGAACATTTAATACTTCAAAGACACTTTCCCATTGGGTGTTCTTGGATTAGAGAATAGGTAGATCTCTCTGGCCCTGTGGTATGGTGAGCTCAGTGAGTAAGAATGTTGGGAATCTCAATATGGGTCCCCTATGTTATCCTTCAGCCACATCTTTGCTCTGCTTTGTAACATGTCCTCTCAAGCCAAGGTTCTTCCCAACATTCACCATTAGCTGTTCTTGGTGGTAATCTGGTGGAGAAAGTAGAGTAGAGGGGGAAGAGAAGGACTATCCAATCATACCTTCTTTTAAGCCATTTTCTCCGAAAGCTTCTGCCATCCCAGCCAAATATCAAATAGTCAGTACATTTAGCTTTTTACTTCTCAGAAAGTTTTTTCATTAGTTATCTCATTTGGTCCTCCCAAGGACCCTATGAGTCAGATAAGATAGATATTATCATCTTTCCTGTTTTACAAGTTTGGAAACTGAGACTCAGATAGGTCAAGTAAATTACCTGCAATTTCATAATTAGTGGGAGAACCAGGACTTAAATCCAGGTCTTCTGACTTTGGTCCTGTGTTTATTTCAGTAAGTGATATTTCTCCCTGTTTGAAAACCTCATGTTTTATATCTATGAAGCTGGAGATTGTGAATTGGGGGAAAGACACAGCAGAATGTTTTCATGAGCTTCACATTAATAAAAGCTTTCAGAACTACACTTTTATTTGTCTGGCTGTCTTTGAAAGTATACTTTCACTGGGACTGTAGGCATTAGGCCTTTAAACCTTGAAACTATTAGGAACACAAGGATAGACTCTGGGTCCTACATGGCAATGCCTATGGTTCTCTCATTGGGAATGGGGTTAACTCATGGTCTCCCTTGGTTCTCCTTCCTTCATAAGGAATGTGGGGAATCACATCCACCTGGCATGTTAGTCTAGCATGTGGTCTGATGAGTCTGGGAACCACAAAGCAGGAGGGTTTCCCTCATGGCTCCTTTCTCTTCCCCAGCTCTGCTTTCTCAGGACTCTACCTTTCCCCAAGAGGGGAGCATGGAGGAAGAGAGAATTAACTCTGGGCTCCTGACAGCCAAATCCCAGGTGAGTTGGGGTTGCTTCTCTCTTTTGAAATGCCAGCTCAGGTATCAGAGGGTAGATACATTTCCTCTCTCATCCTTTTGTTTTTCTGCCCAAGGACATAAGCTCCAATTCGTCTTTATAGAGGTGTTTTTGGTATTTGAATGTTCTCAATTTGCCTTTCTTGGTGGCCATCTCAGTATTGTTCTCTTTGCTTAGCATCCACTCAACCTATTAAATAGGTGATTCAGAGCTACCATACTATACTATATTCATGAGCCTGTGAATAGAACAAATATGTGGCAGTCTTCACTCTCAAGAAGCTTACTTTCTCTTAGGCTTTTAGTTTTCTTATCTGTAAAAATAAAGGAATTAAACTAGATGATTTTTAAGGCCCATACTATCTTTGAGAGACCAAAGAAGTTTATGTGATTTACCCAGTAGTAGACTGAGGTAGATATTGAACTTGATCTAGAACCTGGGACTTTTGACTCCTTATCTAGTATTCTTTTAACTGGCTGAAGCTCGCTAGAGAAAAAAGACACAAAATAATTATTTTTATTATAAATAAAAATACAAATATATGGGTAAATGTCAAAATAAATGGCATAGACAGTAGATAAAGGAATTCAGATTACAATGGACAAAAGAAGACTTCCTATCAGAGCTGGGATTTGAGCTGGCCCTGAGGTTAGACAGGTTTTTGTGTAATTGGAAAAGACTGGAGAGGGCATTTCCATAAGTGAGGCCATCATGAACAAAGTCCCAGAGGCAGAGTGGGGACCAGTTACACTGGCCTGGCCAAAGTGGAAGGATCATGTTAGAAAGTAGTGGAAGATGGATTGGATATATAGGGTAGAGTTGGATCATGGAGGGCCTTGAATGCCAGCAACCTGAGGAATTTAGAATTAGATCACTTGATATGAGACAGGGAAGTGAAGTGGTAAGTGAATGGTTGACTGTAACAAAGAAAGGAAAGATAACACAAGGGTTTATATGATGGGAGGCTCTATTGATAGTAAATATGGAGATGATTGTATGGCAGTTTTAGACCATTTCTCTGAAACTGCAACAAGTCTAAATGTCAGAACTCTTGCAGGTTTTTCTCTGAGGAGTACTCCATTTATTAGGAGTGTGGTAGCAGAGCAGTCTTTCCTATCCATTTTCCTAGAAGCTAGCTGTTTACACATTCTGAACAAGAAAACAAAATAATAGCGATGACAACCCAGAGGAAGTTGAATACCCGATATAAGCTTTTATGTCTATATTGTCCACGGGGAAACAGATAATTTTAATAGTTTAATTAAATAATAGTTTAATTAATAGTTTAATTAAAAATAGTTTAAGATTCCATAGGTCAACTTTCACATATATGTGACACCACTTTAATCAGTCTTTTCAGGTATCCAGTTTATGGGGACTTTGGGAGAAAAGAGGTTGCAAAACTCACATTTTCATGAAGTAAGCTAGTGAATCTTAACTGCTGTGTTCTGGCAATTAGTTCGTATTCAGTTCTAGTAGAAAAGCACCGAACTTGGAGTCAGAAGACCTTGACACATACTATCTGTTGGGCCATGGGCAAGTCATATAACTTTCCGAATTTGTAAGTTTCTTCTCTGTTAAATGGAGATAATAAATAACACATACACTGTTTACCTCAGAGGACTGTTGTGGGAAAAGTGTTATGTAAGCCTTGTAAAGCACAATGTACATGTGGAACTATTAATATAATTATTATTACATTCATCAATATTAAATTCAGTTCAGTAGACTACTATTCAGTTCAACAGGTGTCTACTGTCTTCAATGTTAGGTCTATAGACATAAAATGGCACTCAAGCTTAAATAACTTCCAGTGTTATGCCTAGGGAAAGTAAAGGATGATGTACATAGCTAATTATAATACAAGATAGAGTGAGATGAGTGCAGAGGAGAGATCCAAAATAGCCTAGGAAAATTTGAGGAGATGGAGAACACTTTCATTTGGCTGGAAGAAGCTTGCTTCATGAAGGAGGGGGCTACTGAACTAAGCCTTTGAATTAAGATAAGGATTTTGAAAGACAGAGATGAGGGAGAGAGTACCTTCTAGGCATGGGGAACAGCCTACACTGATATATGGAGGTAAATGAAGGCTTAAAAATGAGGAAGTGAGATTGGGGAAACTTAACAGTCTAGTTTGGAATGCAGCAAGGGGAATAATGTGAAATAAAGCTGAACAAGTCAGAGCCAGATTGTGGAGGGCTTTAAATACTAGATCAAGGACTTGATTTTTATCTAAGAGCCAGTAGGGAGCCACTGATAATTTTTGAATAGGAGAGTGACGCCACCAACACCCACTACCACCACCACTATCATAGTTTAGAACAAGTGCCAAAAGTAAGAATTTTATTGTCATTTATCTAGGTTTCTTGTTTGGGTCATAGAACTCAAAGGCCAAATAATCAAGTATTATAATGTGACACATTATTGTAAATGCATATCTGATTTACAGCTAGAGCCCTGTGCAAGCATTAACATTAACATAGTACTTTAATGTTGGCAAAGCATTTTATATACATTATCTCATTGAGCCTCAACTACCTTGTAAAATAGGTAAGAGTATTATCACCCCACTTTTATAAATGGGGAAACTGAGACTCAAAAGTATATGACTTGCCCACGACCTCTAACACAACTAGTGTTAGTGATGAGATTTGAGTCTCAAGTCTTCCTGACTATAGGTGCAGCACTCTTCTAAAGCATGTTGCCCACTCCACTGTATGAAGCTGACATGCCCACATCTGTGCCTTAGGACAATTAACTTTGACTGCTTTGTGAAATGTGGTTTGGAGAGGGGAAAAACTCAAGGCAGAGAGACCAGTTTTGGTGCTTTTAAAATCATCTGGGCAAGAGAAGCTGAGGATCTGAACTAGAATATTGGCAGTGTGAGTGAAGGGAGATGGATAGGGGAGATGGGGAGGTAAAATTTCTAAGATTTGGCAATGAATTGGATGTAGGAGCTGACATGGAAAGAAAAGGCAAAGATGACTTTTGTACACAAACACACATACATACGTATATACATACATATACATCCACACAAATATGTCTATAGGCCTAGCATAGTATTTGAGACAACAAAAAGAGAGGACAGCTTATATGCATATGTAGACATGTGTGTATGCATGTATATGTTATATATAGTGCATATTGTACATACACAGGCATAAATGTATGACTGTCTCTATGTATATATATATATATACAGACAGTCTGTACTTTCCTACTTTTTGTTAAGTTGTGATTTTGGAAATGACTTTGTAAAATGATCACTATAAAGTAGATAATAATAGTCCTGTAAGTGTAGTGTTAAAATTAGGAATTCTATTGCTGACCCAGAACTCAGAATCATCAGACATTAGAATTGGAAGGGACCTCAGACATCACCTAGTCCATAACCATCATTTTATAGATAAGGAAACTGAGGCCAAAAGAGATGAAGTGATAAGGCCACGTGTTAATGGCAGAGCTTATTCCTTACAATCCTGTGAAATAGTGTATTATTATTCCCATTTTATAAATGAGGAAACTGAGGCTTAGAGAGGAAACTTGTCCATAGCTAGGATATGTCAGTTAGATGAACCCAGCTCCCCACCAGGCGCTGGCATTTGCCTGCCACAATCTGACTCTAATCTGCCTTTCCACATTTATGTTATTCTTCACATACTTTGTGTTCCTGCCAAACTAGCCAAGAACTGTTCCTAGAAGCATTCTATTTCCTGTCTCTGTACCTTTGCAAGGCTGTCTTCCACTTATGTAATGCACTCCTTCCTACCTCTGCCTTTTAGCATCTTTAGCTTCAGTCCCCAGCTCAGGGGCCAACTCTTATGCAAACCACGTCTCCTTTTTTTGCTAACCACATCTACTTTCCCCTTCACTGTGCACCCTTCTCTCCCAGTTAATGTTCTCTCCTTCACTACATTACCTTGTATTTACTTAATTGTGTACTGTTGGATTCCACAGATAGAATGTAACCTTCTTGAGGGCAGAGGTGTGTGTGTGTGTGTGTGTGTGTGCGCGCGCACGCGCGTGCATGCGCATGCACCTGGATGTATCTATCCCCAGTGCCTCACATAGTACTTTGCACATAGTGGATGCTTAATAAATATTTGTTAAATGGTCACATGATTTTAAAAATCCACATTATCAATCCAAATCTTTTGGCCATTTTTATAAATTACAGTGAATTTCAGCTTTATTTTGTTATCCTTGGCTTAGAATTTGGAACTAGAACAAACATTAGATCATTTAGTCCAAACCACTTACATTTCAAAGACTAAAATTGAGACTCATGGGGGGAACATGACTTGTTCTGGGTTCCATGGCTAGTTCAGGGGAGAGTCAAGGTTAAAACCAAGATCATCAGACTTCTAGTGTAGCATTCTTTACTCTATGCTACAGCCATCTGATTGTTGGAAAGAATGGTCCTTTCTTTCCTTCAATTCAAATGACAAAATTAATTGTGAATAATAAGTAACCTTGAATTGTAGTTGCTGGTATCCAGAAGCCATGGAAACTTGTGACAATAGTGTCTAGGATTTTTTTTTAATTGTTCAGAAATTATGGTATATTTGTACTGACTTACAGGAAAATCCTTTTTTAAAAAATCATTTTAAGTCCTCTAGATGATAGGAGAACTCATCTTCCTGAGTTCAAATCTGGCCTTAGACACTTACTAGCTTGTGACCTTGGGCAAGTCACTTAACCCTATTGTAAAATTAGTTGGAAAAGGAAATAGCAAACCACTCCAAGATCTTTGCCAAGAAAACCCTAAATGGGGTCACGAAGAGTTAGACATGACTGAAAATGACTGCACAATAACAAACAACAACAGATTGTAAACTCTTGGAAGGTTGGAGCCATGCTTTTTGTGTCATCCTCATCAGCTAACATAATATTTTCCACTGAGTATATGATCAACAATAGAATTATAAGATTTTAAAGATGTAAGAGACCTAAAATCTAAAGTAGTACTTGTTGAATAAATAAAATTATGGGATGTCACTTTAATTTTTTTTTTAATTTTGGGGGGGCTAGGCAATGGAGTTAAGTGACTTGCCCAGGGTCACACAGCTAGTAAGTGTCAAGTGTCTGGATTTGAACTCAGGTCCTTCTGACTCCAGGGCCGGTGCTCTATCCACTGTGCCACCTAACTGCCCCCCTGGGATGTCACTTTAAAAAAAAAAATTAAATTGTGAACTCTCATAATGGTGTTCCAAGGATGAATCTTTAAAAAGGTACATATTTCAACCCCCGTATACCAAAAATCTGAACTTTCAACCTATCTATTTTATTCTTAAAGCCAGACTAAAAAGTTGAGAAAAATTTCAAATTCTTGGGCCATCTTGTGTTGTACAAAATTTCATTTTTGAGACAAAAGACAGAGACTTATATTTCATGCATAAAAATTTGTTTTTGCTTGAAAATTCCCCAACTTTTCTGTCTCTAAGTATTGGGGATTTCTGTTAGAACTATTAATATTCAAGTCCATTTTTAAAAAAACCTTTTAAAACTATTTTTCTGTTTCTTCTGAGTTCATTGAAAACGTGCACTTATCTTAGTGGAGATGGACATCCTCACATATCTCTGGATTTAGAATCATAGGTCTTTTTTTGTTGTATTTAAAAAACTTTTAAAATGCATATCTATTACATGTAAGATCATAACAAGATTCCTTGAGAGATACATCCAGTGATAATTTTGTGTAGTAATTCTCTCAATCTCAATATTGAGACAAAAAAATAGGATAATATGTGCCTATAACTATCATGGAGGATCTCCTCCATAAAACTCATAGGGAAGACAGATCCCTTACAGATTGGTTGGGTACTTTTGTTTGTTTGCTGACTGAAGCAAGCTCTGAAACACTTTAGGCTCTCTTCAGAGAAATGCTTGTCCACTCATAAGATCTTAACTAATAATACACCATTCTTGATGAAGAATGCATATAGCCCAGATTATATATGAATGGACAGCCCTTTCAGTTATTGTATCAGCATGTATATTTTGCACAAGTACTATAAATAGACATGAAGTTGGCAGACAAAATTGAACATGAATAGGAGAACTAGATAAGTTGCACTTAGGAAATTAAACAAAGCTTTCAAAAACCTTAAGATGCTTACCAGCATATCTTTTCAATGCCAGTATTTTCCCAATGATGCTACATGACTATGAATCATTAAATACTATCATCTTCAAACAATCAAATTTGTGGGTGACCCAAAGGAAAATAGAGAAATGTAGGGTCACCTTAAATAGCTGTATCATTTTGCTAATGACTGCATGCAAGATATTGCGTAAGAGACAAAATGCTCATGAAAGAAGGCAAAAGGCTGGTCATGTAGTAAGAGCAAGGGAAAACAGATAAATGGACCAAATGTTGTGCTAGAATCCGTGAAATAACAGAAGACCCAAAGGAACTCCTCTAGTTCATTGGGTAGATCTTCACATGAATGATTTATGACAGGACATATACCTATACTGTATAGATTGGGAAGGCATATTTAGGTTGCATATTGTACTAGAAAAAGGGGCATCAACATCAACACTTATTACAAATCCATCAGAGTTTCAAAACATTAGATTAAATAAATCAGGTTATGTTCAGTAAAACATTGCCTCTCATGTTCTCCTTATAGACAGGATGGAGGGATGTGGGCTCTGAGATGTAGTCTAGGTAATTAATAGCTCAGATAGATTTGAATTTGGTCAAATGATCCGAATTGGTCAATGTCATCTTGGAAGTAGGTGTTGAGTTGAGTGTCCTAGGGATCTATTCTTGGCCCTATGCTGTTCAATGTTTTTATCAATTGCTTATCTAACTAGGCATAGAAGGTGTATCTGTAATAAATAATTGAAAAGTTGAATAAAAACTGATTGTTCTCTCGTGTCATGTGTGTGCTCACATTCTTAACAAAAGATGTATGATCCTTAATGGCAAAAACCATGTTTCATACTTTTAAAATACTACTTACATAGTAAAAAACAAACAATTTTTGAGTTGATTTGGAATGCTTAGCATCCTATGTGTTTATAGAATCTCAGAGTTTGAAGGGACATCTAAGGTCATCTAAGACAAACCCTCTCTGAAACATTAAACTTCTATTCACCATCCCTCCCAGGTAGGCATCTCACTTTTTCTAGAAGACCTACAGTGATGAGGAACCCACTTCTCCTCATAAGCCCATTCTACTTTTGGGCAGCTCTAATTATTAGGAAGTTTTTCCTTATATTGAGAAGAAATCCACCCATTGATCCTACTTATGACCTTCTAGGACAAGTAGAGTGAATCCAATATGTCATCCACGTGAAAACCCTTGAGATACTCCCATGCTACTGGTCAACAAGCATTTACTAGATGTTAGAGATACAGTCACAAAAATAAGTCCCTGTTCTCAAGGAGCTTATATTCTAACAGGATACAACATTCACAAATAAGTGAATACAGAATATATAGAAAATAAATATATAGTGATAGAGGAGTACTAACAATTAGGGGAATTAGGAAAGGCCTTTTCAATGAGGTGGCACTTGAACTGAGCTTGGAACGGAGCTGGAGTTTCCAAGAAGTAGAGATGAGGAGACAGTATTCTAGGCACATGGGACTGCTTGTGTAAAGTCACAGAGGTAGGATATGGAGCATCATGTAGGGACAAGAGCAAGTAGGCCAGTGTGACTGGAGCATAAAGTGTGTGAAGAGAAGTAGCGTATAATCAACCTGTAAAATAGGCTGGAGACTTTATTCTAAAGGATACAAACTGAAAAGTATTTTATTCTAAAGGATAAACCAGTGAAGTTTCTCTGTTAGAGAAGTTGACATGGTTACACCTGTGCTTTATGAATGTCAATTTGGCAACTGGGTGGAGATGAATTGCAGAGGAGAGAGACTGGTTGTAGGGACTCCCACTAAGATTCTATTGCAGCAATTCAGGCAGCAGGGGATAAAGGCCTGAACTAGGGTAGTTGTGGTGAAAAGAGAAGTGAATATGAGAGATGTTGAGAAGATTAAATTGATAATAACTTGATAACTGATTGATATTAAACATTCCCATATCCTTCTACAGATCCTGATTCCCTTCCCCTGAATGCACTCCACTACATTAATATCTTCCAGAATGTTACACCTGGATCTGAATACAACACTCCCGATGTATATTACCAGAACAGAGTACAGTGAGACCATTACCACCTTTGTTCTGTGCCCTACACCACCATTAATGCAGACAAAATTTGCATTAGCATTTTTGATTTCCTATGTTGTACTGTTGACTCATACTTGACTTGCAGTCCAATAAAATCCCTAGGTCTTTTTTAAGATGAATTTTATCAGGCCATATTCTCATCATTGTACATATAGTTGATTTTTGAAAGAATATTATTCATCCCTGTTTGGCCCATTTGTTTAACCCATCAAAATCTCTCAAATCCCTATTTTTACTTGTAACATATTAGTTCCCAGCTTCATGTCATCTGCAAATATGATAAACATTCCATTTCTGTCTTCATTGAAGTTATTGGTAAAAATAATGTTGAACAGAACAGATCCAAGAACGTGTACTGCAGTAGTTCCCTGGAGATTTCCTTCCAGCTTGATATCAACTCATTAACTACTACTTTTAGGGTCCAAATTCAGCTAGTTTTGAATACACCTAACTGTACTATCATCTAATCTGCATCTTTCCATCTTGTCTTCAGTGATATAATGAAAGACTGAGAAAGGCCTTGCTGAAATTGAGGTATATGCTATCCTTATGGTACTCACTCAATCTACCAGTCTAATAACCCTATTTAAAAAAAAGAAATTAACTTAGCATAAAATGATTTGGATTTTATTAATTCATGTTGGATTATATATCCTTACTAAGACTACTTCCTATAAAGCCTGCCCTCATCTTCTAATGCTCCCAACATTACCCAAAGCCACATTGCTGATGGTTCTAGGTTTAGCAGGAATGTCTTTGGAATTTCAGGAGTCATTGACGTTCAAGGATGTGGCTGTGGACTTCACCCCGGAAGAATGGGGGCAGCTGTACCCTGCTCAGAGGGACCTGTACAGGGAAGTAATGCTGGAAAACTATAGGAACCTGGTCTCATTGGGTAAGGGTGGCTTCCCTGTATGATTCAGAACCTGCCCTTTGGAGTATCTTTGTTTCCTCAATTGTTAAATGCTATGGGGCCTCTGAAATGTTAGCAGAGTTTGGGCTTGGAATTCAGGGTTCAGAGAAACAGGGTGTCCTGGCTCCCTCTTTCCAAGTGAAAGGGCTATACTTCATAGCATTAGAAATGGGCAGCTTCAATGTGCTGCTCATTATGCTGCACCTTTCTCACCCTTCAGAGGTCTTGAAGAGCAAGTCACTGAGACTAAATTCTAGGATTGTTCTTTGTCCCTAGCACAAACACCCAAGTCCTTTGTCTTTACCCATGAGCAGGGCATCAAGTTTCCAAACCACATTTGATCTCCCAGTTGGAGCAAAGAAAAGAACCTTGGATGATGGAGAGAAAAATCCCAAGAGGGAACTTCCCAGGTGAGTGATGAGAGCGAGGCAAATAGGAATTACTGTAAGTAAAAGTCATGATGGGATGAGATTTGGGGAACGTGGGTGACCCTCCGCAAAAATCCCAATACCTGTAGAGTAGACTGGGGCCATTTGACAAAAGCTACTTTGGATACCCTGATTTCACCTTGCTGTATCATAGAAGAGACTTAGATATCATCTAATATCCTACTTTACACAGACTTTTTCTCCTATAACATCCCTGAAAGATAGCTAGCTATCCAGCCTCTACTTGGACATTTCCAGTGGCAACAAGATAGCTTGTTCTATTTTGGGTCAACTCTAATATTTAGAAAGATCTTCCTTATATTGAGTGAATTTCCTTGAATGAACTTCCTGATTTCCTACAACTTCCACTAAATGGTCCTACTTCTGGCCTTTGTAGTAAAGTAGAATAATCCTACTCATTCTTCTGCATACCAGCCCTTCAAACATTTGAAGTCAGTTCCCATATATCTCCTAAATTTTCTCTATGCTCCAATCTCAGAAGAAGAGTTGTCCTTGTTAAATAAAGCTTAACTCCCCCTCAAACTCAGGATTTTGTCCATTATAGCATCTTCTCAGTGCTAGATCCTATAATTCTCTTTGTAACATCATTAGTCTTTTTCTTTTCGTAGACTCTCTATATTTTTATTCTTCAAATTTGTTATCAATACTTACTACCTCAATTTCCATTTTGATTTTCAATTATAGTATTTTAATACTTACAGAGCACTTAACCCCTATAATCTGGTGTCTATTCTCCCTCCATTGCTATCCTTATTTGTATCCACCAGACCCCACACACATATCCCATACTTTCCTAATGGCCTTTTTTTTTTTTTTAGGCAATTAGGGTTAAGTGACTTGTCCAGGGTCACACAGCTAGTAAGTGTCAAGTGTTTGGTCTGAGGCCAGATTTAAACTAGGTCCTCGTGCTTTCAGGGCCGGTGCTCTATCCACTGTACCACCTAGCTACCCCTGTAATGGCCTTTTCTTAGTCTCCATCTTCTTCACCTTCATTGTATCTGATAGTGATGACTTATATTTGATATTGATTCTTGAATTTCCTCCATTAGCTTATATGATGCTCTACTGTGTTGCTCTTTTTCACTGACTTTTCTTCCTCCCTCTTCCCCTTTATTATAGGACTTGGTATCTTTAGCTCTCTATTTCTCCTTTTCTGTAGTAAGTCCCTTGGAAAACTTAATCATTGTGATTATTGTAGCTGTTCTTTTTATGCTTATGACTCTCAAATCTATACTTCAAACTTAGATGTATTACATATGTACTAGTTACATTTTCACCTGCCTCTATGATAATCTATTTGAATATCCCACTGTTCACTTCAAACTCAACATATTTCAAATTGAATTTACCCTATTTTATCCGAAATACCTTATCAGATCCTGCATTTTTGCCAGTAGTAGTACTACTACTTTCCTAATCTTGAAATGGTATAGTCATATTAAATAATCCATCTCCTTCATGTCCAATCTATCATCAAGTCTTGTTCTTTTAAAATCTCTTAAGACTCAGCCCTTATTCTCCGTCATTCCAGGCCAGGTCTACATTACCTTACATCTGGATTTGTGGTGTGATGGAAAGAACACTGAATCTGAAGTCAGAAGATCTAAGTTTATATCCTAGGAGACCCTGGGCAATTTACTTCCCTCCTAAGGGTTTCAGTTTTTCAATGCAAAAAATGAGAGGGTTAAATTTTTTAGTTCTCTTCTATTTCTAAGTTGTTTGAGTCCATGGTTAATGTTAATTGTACCTGGCCATCGTAATGGTAGACTCTTTCTCCCCTATAATCCATTTTGTATGCGATTGTCAAATTAATCTACCGATGACCAATACATTGAAGCTGTTCACTGTTGACTCTACAAAGAACAGACATTTCTGAGAAGCAATATGATAGAATGGATAGGATACTGGACTAGGAGTCAGAAAGACCTGGATTCAAATCCCATCTTCAAACATTTGTTAGCTGTGTGATCTGGGTATTTACCAGATAAGGGATTTCCCTTAACTTTTCTGTTCCCCAATTTCTTCAACTGTAAAATGCAGGAGTTGTACTCAGTGGCCCCTGAGGTCCATTCTAGCTCTAAATCTATGATTCTATGAACTTCCAGAAAAGGGAGGAAAAAATACCTTGTCTCTGCATCCTAAAGAAATTAGAAATATTGGACAGCATTCTTACCTGAGAACCTCTAGGGCCCCATGGTTTTTTAATCTTTAAAGAGACAGACCCTCAAATGGACAAGATTAATATGAGAAAGTCATTACCCTGTCAAGATGCTGCTCAGAGTTTGGTGACTACTGATTGCCTCCTAAATCACATCTAAATCTTCCTACCTCTATTTCTCAACCCATAGATTCTGCTTCCTGTTTTTTATAGGGGATGCCCTTTCTCTAACTGTGACTTTGAATATATTCTGCTCTGTCGTAAACACCCTCCACTTTTCTTTTTGTCTACTAAATCATAAGCACAAAGCCTTTAATGTCCACTGAAGTTCCTCTCCTCCAGGAAACCTTCCTTGATTACTACATGTTATGTTGATCTTCCTTTTTTTTGAAATTCTAAAACACATATAATCTTTGCCACATAGATCTACCATTTATTTATATGGACTTTTATTTTCAATGTTTTACATGTGTTAAGGCTTCTTATTTAGCTAGTAAGGTATTTGGAAGGAATGACCTTTATCTCACCCTTCCCCTTTATCTCTAGTATTGCTTAAATGGTAAATGCTTAGTAAACAATTGAGTGGTTGGTTACTATGGAGCCACTAGGATCCCAGAGCTGTTGACCACTGGAGTCCTGTGACCTCTGATACAGGTGGACCTGAGATAATTGGGAAAGGGTCACATAGAGTTATAAGAAATACAGCTGTTGATGTCCTTATGATACAAAGTCATCCTTGCTGTGCCTTTAGGCATAGGCCATATACTTCAGGCAGCTTGCAGTACTGTAGCCCAGTGCATAAGATTTTCCCAGGGAAATACAGATACAAGGAAAGCTATGCAAGTCACCAGACTGCCTAGAGCTATGCTCTGCCATGAAGAGGTCTCATCCAGTTTTTTTGCTTACGCTCTTTACAAAATAACTCTACAGTTGGTTTTTGGTGTTTTTTTTAAAGACCAATTTGGGAACACCAGACCAGAGGACTAGTTTCTCCTTTCTTGTGTATGCTACCTTCAGGCATTTTCAGAGAGAGAAATAGACTCGTGATAGGCAGGTTAGTATAATAGATAGCATATTGGATTTGTCAGGAATACCTGGGGTTGAATCTCACCCTTGTTATACAATAGCTGTTTGGCCAAGGCTAAGTGCCTTAACCTTTCTGAGCTTCAGTTTCCTCATGTATAAAATGAGGATAATAATATCTATGGTGCATACCTCACAGGATTGTTGAGAGGCTGCAACACTATAATATGTAAAGTGCATGACAAATTTTAAAGTGTTATATAAATGTCAGTTATGATGATGATGATGATGATGATGATGAGAGTGCTGTTGGGAGCTTCTGCTGCCTTCCTATTCCCACAGCTCCACTGCCCTGCCTCCTTGATTGTGATAACATCACAAGGAAATGATTTTTCTATTCATTCATTCATTCATTCACTCAAAAGCATTTGTTGAATATCTATGGAGAAAGATGCAAAAGTAAGTGATGTATTTACCTGCACACAAGACCTTAGAATGTGGTTGGAAAAACAAAGTAGACCCCACATGAAATATTACATATTTGAACATAAAACATATGAGTAACCATGCAAGATAACATGGATAAAGTAGGTAATAATATAGACATACTTTAGGAATAAAATTTTAAAAGTATTGATTGTGGCCCTACTGTGTACAAAGCTCATACTTTAATATGTGTAGGCTCTGTATAGGAGATATAAAAAAAATAAATATGCCGTGAATCTTACAGTTTAATAGTGGGGATAAGACACTTATATTTTTTTTAAAAAAACCTAATATTAGGTATAAATCCCATGAAAGAAGAATGGCAGTATGGGCCAAATGGCTTTGGAGTCTTTTTTTAAAATTAGTTTATTTTTAGTTTTCAACATTCATTTCCATAAGCTTTTGAGTTTTAAATTTTCTCCCCTTCTCTTCTGACCTCCCTTCCAAAGACAGTGTGCAATCTGATATAGGCTCTATATATACATTCCTATTAAACATATTTTCACATTAGTCAGAAGAATTAGAACCAATAGGAGGAACCACAAGAAAGAAGAAAACAAAACAAAACAGAAGAGAAAGAAAAAACAGGAGCAAATAGTATGCTTCGATCTGCATTCCAACTCCATAGTTCTTTCTCTAGATGTGGATAGCATTTTCCATCATGAGACTTTTGGAGATGCCTTAGATCCTTGTATTGCTGAGAAGAGCTAAGTCTATTAAAGTTAGTCATTGCACAATATGGCTGTAACTGTGTACAACGTTCTCCTGGTTCTGCTCACTTCCCTCAGCATCAGTCCATACAAGTCTTTCCAGGTTTTTCTAAAGTCCACTTGCTCATCATTTCTTATAGCACAATAGTATTCCATTACATTCATATACCACAACTTGTTCAGGCATTCCAAATTGATGGGCATCACCTCAATTTCCAATTCTTTGCCACCACAGAAAGAGCTGCTATAAATATTTTTGAACATATGGGTCCTTTTCCCATTTTTATGATCTCTTTGGGATATAGCCCTACAAGTTCTATTGCTGGGTCAAAGGGTATGCACATTTTCATAGCCTTTTAGGCATAGTTCCAAATTGCTTTCCAAAATGGTTGGATCAGTTCACAACTCCACCAACAATGCATTAATGTTCTAACTTTCCCACATCTTCTCCAACATTTACCATTTTCCTGTTTTGTCATGTTAACCAATCTGATAGGTGTGATGTGGTACTTCAGAGTTGTTTTGATTTGCATTTCTCTAATCAATAGTGATTTAGAGCATTTTTTCATATGACTATAGATGGCTTTAGTTTCTTCACCTGAAAACTGCCTGGTCATATCCTTTGACCATTTATCAATTGGGGAATGACTTGTATTCTTATAAATTTGACTCAGTTCTCTATATATTTTAGAAATGATGCTCTTATCAGAGACACTGGTTGTAAAAATTCTTTCCCAGTTTTCTGCTTCCCTCCTAATCTTGGTTGCATTGACTTTGTTTGTGCAAAAACTTTTCAATTTAATATAATCAAAATTATCCATTTTGCATTTCATAATATTCTTTATCTCTTGTTTGGTCATAAATTCTTCTGTTTTCCATAAATCTGACCTATTCCTTGCTCTTCTAGTTTGCATATAGTATCAGCCTTTATATCTAAATTGTGAACCCATTTTGACTTTATTTTCGTATATGGTGTAACATTTTGGTCTATGCCTAGTTTCTGCCATATTCTTCTTTGGAGTCTTTTTTTTAAAGAAGTGGAACATAACTGGTCCCTGGAGAATGTTTAGGATTTGATACCAAAGAGGTTTTTGATATGTATTGAACAACATGATCAAGGCTTGAAATTTTGAATGAGTATGGCATATGTGGGAGACAGGAGCTTGGGTGGACTAAAGTGGAAGGTACTTGTTAGGCAGAAGTAGAATACAAGTTTGAATAGATAAGACCATGCCAAATTGTGGTGATATCTGATCAACTGGCTAAAGATCACAGACTTTTATCCTATGGGGATAGGGGAGGCATTGGAATATTTTTCAACAAAAGAGTAACATTGTCATATTAAGGGTGTGGAGGCAACTTTAGAGTGGCAGAGAGGCTGATACTCTCGTGAAAGTGATTGATAATAGCTGCAGCCTTACTGTATTAGAGCACTGATGGTCAGATAGGTACCAGAATTAGGAGATGCTTGGGCAGGAGCTCAGTACTAGGAATACAAGGTTTAAGGCCTCTGTACTTGACATAGAGCATGTAAAGGTCTGGGAACCAGAAAGTTAAAGTAGTGACTAGGAATTCTGTTATCAGTAAAAGCAGGTCTTGATCATCAAACAAGATGAGGATTTGTAATCTAGGAAATATAGGAGAGTAAGACAAGAAATAAGCTCCAGTGATTAGAATGTAGAAATGATCCTAATCTGGAGTAATTGATGGTTTTTCTTCTTGTTCTTTTTTACTTCATGTTGAATATAGGTTCCTGAGTTTCTGCAGGTGGGTTTCAAGAAGTGATTGTAGCTAGATGATAATACGAAACTGCAGAATTCCTCTGATCATGATACCTAAGGGTGTAGAAGACCTGGGCTTCAGGAGTATTCTTAAAGACATGAAATTATTGTCAGTGAGACATTTCTTTGGTAGTAATGCACCAGATGGATTAAGAAATTAAAAGAAGATTGTAGGAAGATAGATTAGTTAATACAATTTTTATTATTAGTTATTACAATAATTCAGCCATGAGATGATAAAGACCAATGTACTATTACCAGACTATATCCCCTAGTCCTAACTCATTCCTACATTTTCTCCACTTGGCCTTTTTCCCAATTACCCTTCCTGCCATCCATTATGTTTTTTTGTTTTTGTTTTGTTTTGTTTTGTTTTGGCAAGGCAGGTGGGGTTAAGTGACTTGCCCAGGATCACACAGCTAGTAATTGTCAAGTGTCTGGTCTGAGACCAGATTTGAACTCAGGTCCTTCTGACTCCAGGGCCAGTGCTATATCCACTGCACCACTTAGCTGCCCTATCCATTATGTTTTGATAAACTATTTGTTCTCTGTGTCTTCAACTCTCATGCTAGAATAGCTCTCCTAATCATTTGTGTCACTTCCTCACTGTTTACTCTATTTTCTGTTCTTCCCAGATTGGAAGGCCATATTTGAGAGTTTTCAAAGCCATACATGCCTTCAGTTCCTCAGTTCTGTACATAGCATGCTATAGCAGTTTTCCTGCTCTTAGCACAAGAGACATTTTCATGTTTTATTTCTTACAGACTGGGAAACTAGACCTGAAACCAAGAAATCAACTCCAAAGGAGGATGTTGCTGATAAAGAATTATCCCAGGAGGTGATAATGAAAAGACTCCCAAGGGATGGTCTCTGCTGTTCTACATTTGGAGAGGCCTTGGAATGTGATGGCCAGTTAGGGAAGCAGCAAAGAATCAAGGAGAGAATGTTAAAACAAATGTCAGTCACCCACAAGAAGAACTTGAGTGGTAAGAACCATTCTGAATGTAATGAACTTGGAATAAGCCTTAGTTTGAGATCAATATTTGTTACCCAACCGAGAAGTTCTATAGGAAGGAGATGCAGTAAATGTAATACATGTGGAAAGGTCTTCAAACATAATTTAGACCTAGTTAAGCATCAGCAAATCTGTGCAGGGAAGAAACCCTATGAATGTGATGACTGTGGAAAAACCTTCAGTCAGATTTCATACCTTACCCAACATCGGAGAATTCATACTGGAGAGAAACCCTATGAATGTAGTGAATGTGAGAAAGCCTTTAGCCAGATTTCGTATCTTACCCAACATCGGAGAATCCATACTGGAGAAAAACCCTATGAGTGTAATGAATGTGGGAAAACTTTCAGCCAGCGTACACACCTTACTTGGCATCAGAGAATTCATACTGGTGAGAAACCTTATAAATGTAATGAATGTGGGAAGGCCTTCAGCATCACTTCATCACTTAATAAACATTGGAGAATTCATACTGGAGAAAAACCCTATGAATGTATTGAATGTGGAAAAGCCTTTAGCCGAAGTACAGCTCTTACTCAACATCAGAGAATTCATACTGGAGAGAAACCCTGTCATTGTAGTGAATGTGGAAAAGCCTTTAGCAGAAGAACAGCCCTTACTCAACATCAGAGAGTTCATTCAGGAGAGAAACCCTATCATTGTAATGAATGTGGAAAAGCCTTCAGGCAGCACAGAGCCCTTACTCAACATCAAAGAATTCATACAGGAGAGAAACCTTATCAATGTAGTGAATGTGGAAAAGCCTTCAGCAACCGGTCATCCCTTATTCAACATCAGAGAGTACACAGTGGAGAGAAACCCTATGAATGTAATGAATGTGGGAAAGCCTTTAGTTGGAGGACACACCTTACTCAGCATCTAAGAATTCATACAGGAGAGAAACCTTATCAGTGTAATGAATGTGGGAAAGCTTTCAGTGACAGATCATCTCTTACTCAACACCAGAGAATTCATACAGGAGAGAAACCCTATCAATGTAATGAATGTGGGAGAGCTTTTAGCCGTAATTCATCTCTTACTAAACATCAGAGAATTCATATTGGAGAAGACCCCTATGAATTAAATTAATTTAGGAAGTTATTAATTAATTCATACTGGAAAGGAACCCTATGTATGAGGGAGACCTTTCTTGTACAAACTGAGACCTCAGTGGACATTACTGCAAAGTCTCTGAAGAATAACACTGAAAATGAAGTGGATTTAGAGAAATTTCTTTCAGACTCATAAATATCCTTGAATTATAGAATTATATAATTTGAGTAGAAAGGGACATTAGAGATCATTTAGTCCAACTCATTCCTAAGCAGAAATGTCTCTAAATCATCTCTGCCAAGTGGTCACCCAGCCTCAGTTTGAAGGTTCCCAGTGTGGAGAAAATTCACTACCCCTCCCCCCAAGACATCATTCTACTTTTGAACAGTTTCAATTGTTAGAAACTTTTCCCTTAAATCAAACTGAAATCTGCTTTTCCCCCATATTTCTAACTTTCATATGTTGTCTTCTGCCATTACAATGTAAGCTCCTTGAGGGTAGGGCTGGTTTTTTTTTTTTTTGCTTTTAGTTTTACCCCCAGTGCTTAGCACAGTGCCTGGCACATAGTAAGCACTTAATAAATGCTTTATCTATCTCCTCTGTCATTTCATTTGTTGTTCTTAATTTTGTCTTCCAGTTGAAGACAGCTATCACATCTTTTCTAGTCTTCTCCACTTCATTTGGCTGTTTCTTATATGACAGGCTCTCTAGCTTCCCTCACCATCCTGGTGTTCCACCTCTGGGCAAACTCTGTCTTGCAAATATCCTTACTAAAATGTGGTTCCTAGAAGAGAACATCATCCTCCAAATGTAGTCTAAGTAGACCAAGGATAAGTTAATATGCAGCAGTTTGTGCCAGCCATGAGTTTGTTTGTAGTGCTATTTTCTTCTTTATTTTTTTCTCTCCTACTATATCTGCTGGTTCCTCTCAGAATTCCTATCACAAAGTCTGAATGTAAAGTGTGCTGGTCTCAGTTTTCAGATGACATCTAGTTGTTTTCCAGGTTTTCTAAATATGTATATAAGTGTGGATACATACATATGTATATATACACATACATACATATTTTTAAAAGCTTATATAGGTGTACACATATTTACATACATAAACTTTTTAAAATAAAGAAAATAATGTAAAAATCTTTTAGAGCAATTGAACTAAAACAATGCAAACAGCAGGTTACATTATTAGAGCTGAAGTTGAAATAATAAATGTTGAATTTAATTTTCCAATTGAAATGATTTCACATTCCTTACCAAGGGACTGATGCCTGATTTGCCTTTACATAAAAAAGATAACACATAACACTATATTTATTCCATTTTGAAGGAGCTTTTTGTAATTCATGTAAATCAACCAGCTAGGGAAACAATAATAGGTCACTTAAATTGCCTTTAAAACCAAATAGAGGATTTTGTCTTTTATCCTAGAAGCAAATTCTTGAGCAGAGGAGTGACATTAAAACCTTTACTTTAGAAATATCAATTTGACAGCTTATGGAGATAAACCGAGGAGGGAAGAGACTGGAGACAGGACCAATGAGTAGGCTATTGCATAGTCAGAGCAAAAGATAAAGGCCTAAATTGAACGGGTTGTGTGAATGGAGAGAAGGGCACTGATTCAAGACATTGTGGCAGAATTGACAAAACATGGCAACTGATTCGATGTGAGGAATGAGCATGAGGACAAAGTTAAGGATGATTTTGTTATTGTGACCCTTGGTGACTAGGAGATAATACTCTCAACAGTATTAGAGAAGTTGAAATTTGGAAGATTTGGGGGAAAAAGATAAATGAGTTTTTTATTTTGGACATATTAAGATTGAGAAGCCCTTAGGATGTCCATTCAGAAATGTCTGTTAAGGAGTTAGTGATTCAGGACTGAGGTTCAGGAGAGAATGGGGTAAGATATATACATCTGGGAGTCATCTGCATGAAGTCAAGTCCACAAGCATTTATTCAGTGCCTACTCTGTGCCAATCTGTAGTAAACACTGGGGGTACAAATTAAAGCAAAAATAGTCCCTGCCCTCATGGAGCTCATGATCTAATGAGGGAAGCAATATGCACACAACCGTATATAAACAACATTTTTACAGAATAAATTGGAGATAATCTCAGAGGGTGATTGGGGAAAGTTTCTTACAGAGGGTGGAATTTTAGCTGAGACATGAAGGAAGCAAGGAGACAGAAATAGAGAGAGGGAATTTCAGGCCTAGGGAAGAGCCAGTGAAAAGGCCCAGAGTCAGAAGATGGAGTGTCATGTACCAGGAACAGCCAGGAGGTTGGTGGCACTGGATAGTAGAGTAGGTGGAGGAGAGTAAGGTGTAAGAAGACTGGAAAGGTAGGAAGAGGCCAGGTTATGAAAGGATTTAAAAGCTGAACAGAGGGCTTTATATTTGATCTTGGAGGTAATAGCCATTTGAGTTTGTTGATAAGGAGTAGGGGGGCAGAGGGGATGACACAGTCAGACCTGTACTTTAAGATCCCTTTGATATCTGAGTGGAGGGTGGACTAGAATGAGGGAGAGACTTGAGACCAGAGGGCCAACCAAAAGACTACTGCAGTAGTTTAGGCATAGGATAATGAGGGCTTGCAACAGAGTAGTAGCAGTAATAGAAGAGAGAAGGGGGGTACATACAAGAGATGCTGCGAAGTAGAATCAGTAGGACTTGGTAAAAAATTAGATGGAGAAAAAGGGCAGTGACAGAAAGTGAAAAATAAAGGATGACACCTAGATTGCCATCCTGGGTAACCAGGAGGATGGGGGTTGCCCTAGTCAGTAGCAGGGAAGTTAAGAATAAGGTAGGGTTTGGGCGGAAAGATAATTCACTTTGGGGCATGTTGAGTTTAAGATGTCTATGGGACAGCTAGTTCAAGAAGTTTGGATTATCAAATGCAAGGATGCAGGAAATCCTTGTTATTGGGGGCTGACATCCAATATCTTTATCTTTTAATATGCATTTACATAGTAGGGGAGGGGTACAGAAATAAGGATTAAATTGTAGGTGATGTTGGGTAAATATAGATGAAACATCTTTTTGTGGTACCTATTCCATCCAGCATTTCTGATCATCTTTTCTAGTTAAAAGTTCAGAGACCCTCCTGGTTGGAGGAAGGGAGGAAAAAGATAGACCTTTCCAGGAATTAGTAGATAATGCGTTGCTATGAGATTTGATGTATTAAATGTCACCAGCACCTGATGCATGCCCAGTCGGGTAGTTTTCCATCAGAATCTCCTCTCTGAGTAGGAATGGAGAAGTGTCTGGTACATCAGAAAAGGAAGCTGCTGTGTGGCAGGGAGAAGGTCATGAGAGTGTTTGAGTGAGTGAATGAGATTCCATAACAGAACTGTTTTAACAGAACAAGACTTTATTATCTGATAAGCAGCAACATATGCCCTCCCCATGCCAATAAACTCTGTACTCATTGTCTCTCTATATGTCATTAATGGGAAATGGCCATATTTAGAGTCTGGAAAGAAATGCCTATGTATGTGGTCCTTAGTGGGTTTCATTTGTGGCATATCACTGATCATACCAACCCATCTCTGTGGTCCAATCCTGGTCCCAAATACCTTAAAGTTCCATTAAGGTCTTCAGATTCCAGTCGCAGAGACCATATAATTCAAATCCTGGAATGGCATTTCCATTTTCAGTGTCTTTTGATCTGTTGTTCTTTTAAATTTTCAACATTTTATTTATTTTATTTTCAGTTTTGAATTCTTTCCTTCCCACCTCCCTTGTCCCCGCCCATTGAGAAGCCAAGAAAACAAAACATGTTACAAATATGTATAGTCAAGGAAAACAGATTCCCAAATGAAATGCCTGCTGATCTGGAAAGGTGTCTTCAAAGACGCCTAACTGAAGGTTAGAACGAGGCTATGAAGGAGAAAGAGAGAATGAGAGAGATAGAAAGAGAGAGAATGAGCCAGCCTTGTGATTTCCAGTAGGCTCAACAGTGTGCTATGGTGCAGACTCTGAGAAAGACATCTTGCTATGACTAGCAGGATGGAAGAACCATCACATTTGTCCAAAAGCAAAGCAAAGCTTGGGGAAAGGAGAGTCCCTGGCACAGTGAGGGAGAAGTGCACTGCGTACATGCACTAATATTTTCATGTCTTCTCTGCCAATGCAGACGAAACATTTGGAGTGAGATACAGATTAATTTAATTGTTAAACTGAGGCAGCCAGGTGGCTAAGTAGATAAATGCTGGGCCTGGAGTCAGGAAGACCTGAGTTCAAATCCAACCTTAACAATTAGCTGTGTGACCTGGGCAAGTCATTTAACATCTATCTTCCTTAATCTGCTGGAGAAGGAAATGGCAACCACTCCAGTATCTTTGCCAAGAAAACCCTGTGGACAGTGTTTGTATGCTGTGGTCCATGGAGTCATGGTCACCGAACAACAGAACAACAGGTTAATTGCATTAGCAGTTCTGCTCAAGTCTGCAGTTATCCTGGTAAGCCCCTAATCAAACTTCGCCAACATCCAGCATGTCTGCAACTGGAGGAGGGGTAGTGATGAAAGATTGTATATTTTGTTCCTGAAAATTCTGTATCATTGACCTTCTCTAAGGCCCTGTTGTTCATTCAGGGATGGAGTATCTAACATGGCTCCTGCTTAGCATAGAGTTGGCTTACTCTTCCCCGTCACACTGGTTGGTTTGGTAGGGAAGTGGTACATAGGTTGTGGGAATAAATTGTGTTAAGGGCCTATTCTTGCCTCCCCTCACAAGTGCTTTACTGACCCATCCCATAGGTATAAGACATCTCAGAAGTACTGAACCAAAGCCCTGAATGAATGTTGACCCATTTACCATACCTGGCTAGAGAGCATGCTTTAGTTCCTGGATGCCTGCTCAGGATAGTTGAGTTAAGTCAGCAATTTAGACCATGAACAAACTTAATGGTACTTTGTTTTTCCTTTCACCAAATTTAAACTCTCTGAGCCTTAAAATCCCTTATTTAATGAGCCCCAGCTGTCTTTCTGGAAGTCCCTGGTATGGAGGAAGTTTCTTGGACCCCAGCCAAGGCCACAAGAGTAGTCCCAATAAATTTGCAAAGTCAGCCTTGGGTGAGTGAGACTCTGTTTCTACTCTTCACTTCCTTTTTTCCCTCCTTTGCCCCCTTAACCACTTACAATGCTCAAAAATATCAGACACTAGATCTGGAAGTGGAGTAATCGATACACCTTATCTCCATACCAATCACTGCCTTAGAATCCCTTAGAATGGGAAGTGAGGAAAACAGGGGAAACAACACAGACATGTATCTAAGATAGGATGAGAATGTGAGTAATGAGGAAGCTGGGAAGCCATCTTTGGTGGTGCCAGCCCCATAGGCTATCTGACATGCTGTTGCCCTCACAATTCACGTGAGGGACTGCCACACCCCTAAGCTAAATTGAGACTTCAGGCCCCTGCACTGCCCAAATAGCTGATGGAGAACTAATTCAAGATGAATACTTGAACCATAGCACCCCCATATCAAAACCTACCAAG